CAGGGTGGACGTTACGGAAACGCACTGCAGGCAGCTGCCTATGGAGGACACACAGAGACCCTTGACTCCTTAATCACAAATGGTGCTACCTCACAGCTCCAGGATCATTATGGACGGACACCGCTTTGGTTGGCTGCAGCTGGCGGCAAGACCGCCACAGTAGAAGCCCTCATTAAGAAACATAGCGTCGATCATCAAATAGCTGACAATCTTGGGAGAAAGCCTTCCTGGATAGCTGTGAAGAAAGGACATGGCGCAGTATCGAAGGTTCTCCAAGCGCATGATGGAGAATCCAACACTGAGCCAATAGTGCCACCCAACGGGAATCATCACCAATCACGTCTAGAATGCGATGTCTGCACCTCAAAAATTCCAACAACTGTCTTTCATTACCATTGCAACCTCTGCGCTGGTGGAAATTGGGATATATGCGAGGACTGTAGGAAGTGTGGAGCCACTTGCGTGGACCCGGCTCACCTTCTGCTTAAACGGACGATGCTTAACGGAGTCTGGTCAGAGATCACAACTAACCATGACTCATGAGACATCACGGCAACCATATAATTATATCTAGTCTACCTTACCCATGCGTCTAAATTATATCTTGCTTATAAGTTAAAATACAGCTCCATTTGGTCCGTATATCATTACTACTATTTAAAAATGTGACGTGAAACGCCATTGGGCAGCTCCTCTGCGGAGCTTCCTTGTATGCTCGGGGAGCTTCCTGTACGTATATGGCTAGTTCTGCGCTTAGACCTAGCAATATCTCTATATATATGGAGCGTGGGAGCTCTCTCCCACACTCCAGTGACACCCTGAACTGCTTGCCAAGCTCCCTCCAACAAAAAAATAATTGCGATTGAATATTGGTGACCACACTTACAGATATCCGCCATGTTCCAGTCCATTATAGCAATGGAGGAGGGTAGAGATAGAGACATTACTTTGTTCCAATCGAGCAGTATATGTGTGAGGTATATCTATACGCAGAGCTTGCGCCAGCGCTTAGCTGGCTGGATCTATATCAGCGGATACTGTAGAGGAGGGTAAGCTCGAGTAGGAGGCATAGCGTCTATGAGGAGAAGCTTTAAGAAGCATGCGCCATAGCTCCCGCGATTTTAGTATAGCACGGTTGTATAACATAGGCTACTAAGTGTAATGAAAGCCAATTTTTCAGCCAGGAATTCTTGCTCAATTGCGGGGGCGTACACATGTCCCTACGGATGAATCTGGAGTAGGTCTTCTTAAGCGCTGCTTATGTTCAAACTTTTAAGAGAATTTTTTAATAGGCTGAGACGTGTTTTAAACCCTCTACAGTAATGCTAGGTGAAGTTTCTAATAGAAGGGAAAGGGTGCATTGGTGTAGTAGCTTCTAGCGCTGTAGACAAAATGCCTGAAAAAATAACAAAGGCTGCTGTAATTGTACACGCTTACATCCTCAGGATACTATACTATAATCAGAATACATTATTAGGTTGTTTTGAAATTCATTAGAGGGCGGGTTGCAGAGTAGTATCATTTAACGGGTTTTATGGTTCTGCGTAGTGGGTTGTTCTAACCATAGGGAGGGAGGTTACCCAAGAACATCATAAATATCGCTCCGCCTCCCCCTAGGCCGCCTCTGCCATTCTGCACTCGGCCCTGGCACCTCGTAAATACTGCTCGGCGGCGGCCTCCCAGGTTGCACCTCCGCGTTCACACTTGACTCTGCCACCGCCCTCTTCCCCCCCGGCACTACCCTCTGCAAGCTCACAACAGGAAGCCTTCCCTCTATCTGCTTGCGCCGCTCATCATCGTCCACCTTACCAGGCAGCGGTTGCACCATCATTACCTCTGGCACGATGAAAGCGCTGCGCGAATTGGGAACAACCGCCTCAGGACGCGCAGCGGCCTCGCGTTGTTCCAGATCCGGAGCATCCTCGTAGGTATTGGGATCCGGAACAGTCTCGCGCCTACGCTTTAGCTTACACCGGGACGTAGAGGTCGGTGGCGGCATCCTGGTACTAGGAGTGGAGTCGTACGCCTCGTCCTCTGCCTCCTCCGGCGGTTCGGTTCCAGGGTGTTGCAGCGGCATCTCGATTGGGGTGATGGGTGAGAATGCGGCGGCGGCGTCGGCATACGAAGACGAGAAGGACGAGAAAGATGTCGAGGATGAGTAGGATGCTGATCTGGTGACAGCGTGGGGGGAGAACATGTGGTCCGGCAGTCCATTTCCAGTGTCGATTTGTGGAACTCCAGTGATAGGAACGCTGCGGGAGGGCGCGGCAGCGGGGAGGCGAGGCGATGGGGCGGGGGTGGGTCTGCGGGACCAGGAGCGCGAGTGCGACGGGCTGTACTTGTAAAGCGAAAGCACAGCGCTAGGGGGACGCCTGCGTACGGGAGGAGTGGACGTTATGGCAGCGGTGGCTTGGGAATGTCCGCTGAAGGTGAATGTCGGCAAAGGGTGAGGGAGTGCAGGGGCGGCGTCTATTGCCCATGACGTTAGGTTGGCATTCGAGCGGCCGATGCGGCGCACGCGGGGACGCGAAGTCAAGTTCGTTGCGGTGGTTAAGATGCTGCGGGCGGGCATTTCACGGGACGGCGTGGACGATGTGGTGGCGGGTGGCGCGGCGTCGATGGTGGGGAGAACTGCGTTGGGATGTTGGGAAGGCTCGGCGCGATGCTCGGGTCGAGGACTAGGCGGCGATTCGAGCCCGTCCGGATCTTCGTTGTCGCTGTCGGCGGCAGCTGGGAGGGTTTCGCTCTCGTTCGCGCGGAGCGAAGGCGAGGGAGGGGTGGTTGTGCGGGCGGCTGGCGCGGTTGAGTCGGCGTCGGCTTCAGCTTCGTCCTCAGATCCGTCGTCTACGTGGCCTTCGACGTCGGTATGGCGCTCGTTCGTGGAGCCGGGCATGTCGACTGCACGCTGCATCGCGCACCGGCCGCCCCGATGGTCCATCAGGCAGTCGTTTTGGGAGTCAGCGTGCCCTAGACCTGCGCACTCATCAGCTCCACGCCGTACACGGACATCAACCCACTCACTCGCTCGAATCGCGCCCGCCACGGCGCATACGCTGCTGTCCAAGTTCACCTTCACAAACTCCATCTTCTTGACGCCAGGGTGCAGCACCCGCTGCGGGCATGCTAGTATCGCAAGATCCTCCGCAGACGAGACGTCCGCCAGGTTGCACCAGTGCACGACTTCGGCGTGCGAAGAGAGGACAAACGAGTTACCACGCTTATCTGGTGGCGGCCACGCAGCCACGTCCACAGGCGGGCGCCTGCCTTTGCCTTTGCCTGCAGGTTTACATGCCCGCGCGTCGTCCTTCGTATACGCCCAGAGGATGTGGACGAGCGGATATCGAATATCCAACACAATGGCAAGGTTTTCGGAGGTCGCTTCGGAGTCGTCTTCGAAGTGCACCCACACAAGGGCGTGCTTGCGAAGCACGAGGTCATGCTTGCGACGGCGCTGGGGGTTGGGGAAGACAAAGGATTCGTGCGATATGAGGGTATTCCAGTCGGGGTAGGAGGGTTTAGTGGTTATGGAGAAGCTGAAGGAGTCGTGTGGGACGTTTGCGGCGCGTTGGGTATAGCAGGCGTAAATTTGCGCTGGGGTAGTCAGCAGGGCAGGTAGGCATTGCAGTGTAAAGTGCGTGGGAAGGCATCACGGTGAATGAACGCGACAGAGACCGGAGACCGACTCACACCAGTTCTCGTGCTTCAAGTTGTTATCTTGCGGGTTCTCCTCGCTCACTTCGTCGCCATCGCAGTGCCACCTATTCAGCCCGCGCAGCACCTCGCCAGTCGCGCAGCAATACGTCTTGGCTTTCTTCCTGGAGCCTGACGACGCTTTCTGTGATCGCGCGTGTTTGGGAGCCATGGCGTCGTTCTGGGAGATGGGCGCCACGCGTCTGGACCTCCGATGAGAATAAGGTCATCAACGGACGAGGAAGGCATCGACAAGTGTGCTGCGGAGCTGGTGTGAGTTTCGTCAAATCTTACCTGTTATGAGACAAGGATCCACAGGGCACAATGTCTCTCGTGGCAACCTTCCTATGTGCGCCACCTGGAGCACGGAGTGCGCTCGCTGAACGTCCGTCGCGATTGAGAGTACGTGGCATTTCAAGCGTTCGACTGGACGTATCGAGAGGGACTGAGAAGTCGACGTTCTCCCACAAGCGCCAAGCGTCCACATGAGACTAACGCCGTGCTAGCGTGGCATCAGTGCTCAGAATGGGACTAGGCACCCGAACATCCTGGGAGGGTCGGCTGGCTCACTTGTTCGGAGCGAGCGTCCCAAGCTTTGCGTTGCAGGATCTGGTGGGGGAACATTTCGCTGCACAGGGCGAGACTGAGAATGTGTGGCCTGGGCCGGTGCCGAAGAGACGTCAGGTTGGGACATGGCGCCGTGCCTCCGCGGACAGCTCGCTCACATTCCAAGTGATCTCACGGCCAAGCCCGCACCTGCAGCCAACGAAGTGGGTCGCCGCCCGCTGCAGGGATTGAGTCCGCACCGGCGGGCGACGAGCGCACTGTTCGATGCCTGCACCGGCAGCAGACGGCTGCCCAAGGCATCACAACACCGTCAATGCTGGAGATAGACGGAATCAGATGACCAAGGACAAAGAAACCCTCTCTGCAGTGGAGCGAAGCACCCCGCGCGCTACCAGAGCCTGAGCCACTCAGAGACCCGCAAGCCAGCCACAATCGCCACACTGGTGTAGCCAAATTGCGGGGTGTCCGCACAATGTGAGATAAAGAGTGCAGAAGGACTCTGGTCCCAGGATCCTGATCCCGGCCGGAGATCGCTGGCCACCGTAGAAACTAGCGGGTAAACTCCCCTTCCGCGGACTGCCCGGGAGACTAGGTTAGCGCGCGAGCATCCTTATCGTTATGTTATCACCAACGAGCCTCCCGTCCCTTCGCTCCAAGCGCTAAACCCGAACACTCGCGCGAAGTCTACAAATCTTAGTGCGCGCAGTTGGGTCAGTCTAGGTATGCTAGGAATTCGGTACGTCCAATCGTCGGGTCCACCCTCGTCGTACTGCTCTGTCAGGAAGGGATGGTCGGTTAGAGGCAGACAGGGAGGCAACAGGAACGCGCCGCTGTCTCCCATCCTTTGCTGCCAATTGCATTCTCGAGAGTAGATTTGACTAAGCCTTTCCCCCTTCATTCCCCTCTTCCTGCTGAGGCTGGAACAGCCGGGCTGGGTGGGCGCGTCCCGTGTCAGTCTATTGCATCCTCGCCTTGTGTGCTTCGTGGTATGCTCAACTGTGGAAGCGTACAGGGATGGCGCATCATAGCTGCAGCCGCGGAGCACACTTGCCTATCTTGCATTGCTCAGAGCATTTGGAACTCGTATCCTGATGTTGCACAGTTGCCTTTATCGCAGCCGCCAAGGGAGTGTAGAGACGGGATCTTGCTCGTCGCGTTGCCGACACAAGACCGCCGGCCACGCCCGCCAGGGTTGGCGCCCAATCACCTCTGCCTACTGTGTCACATTTTGCAACCGCGGCAACAACACATCGCATTCTAGAATCGACCCGGGCCCTCATCCACGTCTGAGTCTGCACAGACTCCTTCCTGGCAATGCACAAGGCTGTTCATGGAGGGACGCAATCAATCCGACGTGCATCACCAATACTCATGCATCTCCATTATCGTCCCTTGGCCGTGTCATGCAGCAGTTGCTCGAAAGGAGGGCCTCTGCGAGAGCACTGCCGAGCGCACTCGGGCCGATATGCCTCAGATAGGATTCTGTGGCTTGTTTGTGCGCTCGCCCGCAGCTCCGAGATATGGCGTGGCGGGGTCCGGTTCGGGCGGTTCCATCGTACCGTGTTCGATCTTCGGTTGCTTGGCCGCCGGTGGAAGGCACAGGTCCTCCGTACGCCCCGTCGGCGGGGGGCTGCATGCGCTTCGTCGGTCGTGACGTCGGGATTGGCGTCACTCCACTGCTGGGCCGAGGACGATATGCTCTGCAAGCCGAAGTCGGGCCTCCGGTGATGAGAAACCGCGGGACCGGCGTCTTGTTCGTGGTCGATGTGATGGAGGATTGTACCAACTATGTTATCCCGCGATCCAAAGTGATGAGGAAAGATCACAATGCTGATTCCACGGCGATAATCTTCCGCGATGTCTTCTACGGCATCGCTTTCATTTAAAGGGAGCTCCAACATCTCATCGCTTAGCCTTGAAACTATATCTGCTGAGCCAAATTCCGCAAAGCAAGCATAGCGCCGGTTGATCATGCTTTTGGCAACATTTGGGCCTCGGGCCACTTGTGGCTCGAACCTTGGAAGCGATCGTTCATGGGGTTAGATGTGATGCGTATGATAGATATAGACGTCTGCAGGCCCGCAGCCACTTTCAAGTCCTATTCGTCCCTTCTGTAAGCTCTCAGAACTTCTTTCCCCCATTCGAGATTCGCAAAAAGCTCGCGGAGAGCAGCGTACACGAACCGGGTCTCTAAGGCATAAGTCTTCGACGGTACAGGATCTTGCCAATACCACATAGTCAAGTCGATATCCTATTGGTGTTGACCAGCCTAAGAGGCGATTGTACACTCGACCCGATCGCCCACGTCGGACTTGTTAGCATCCACACCAAGGATTCGTCGATTGGGTTTGAGTCTCCCCAATCTCGCGACTACCAACACATTTATGCCTACCTTGCACGGCGCTTTTGCGGCATTGGGTATAGAACGCGATGCAATCAATGATAGATGGACTTTTACACGGATTCAAGAGGTGTAGATTTCCATTGCAGAAAACCACGTCGCAGTCTCCAATTCCATGGCCCACAAACTCCTTCCTTCCGAGCATTGTGTCCCTAGATTTCGCGGCCCCATCGCCATGCAGACTGTGTGGACATGCACTAAGGCAGTGCGCGTGCCACTGTCGCCTATCCTACCGCACGCACTCCGATCTGACCGCGCACCGCCTTACCACTACGCCCCCCAATCACACTCATTGCGCCATAATTTACGCGAGGCTTGCCACGCGATATACTTTAGTCGATCGACTCACAAGCGTGGTCATTGGCAACACATTAAGCACGCGCAAATTCCCACGCAGCCGAAGTAACTAACACTTATCCTTAGTCACTGCCACCGAAACCCCTGCCGCCCGCACGGAAATTAAGAACCTAAAGTCGCAGTATACGCTGCAGGGAGATGTTCGGGCCCTGAGGCTAGTTCAGATGTGGATTAGGATTAGGCGATCTCTTGGTAAGACGATATTCAGCCTCCGTGGAAATAGTCTGTTGGTGAGGGTGGCACGGATGCGCGTTCGTTTAGCCCCAAATATGCTTCTGTAATAGCGGCGCCCACCGAGTGCGCACGAACGCCCGCTGAGGCATAGGCGGTAGGGCCGTTCCGCTTGTCCGGAGCGGCCCACGCGCCTCGCGCGAATCGTCCATGGAGGTAAGAGGATCGACTGCGATCCTCGACCGCCTCGTGCCGCCGTTAAGGCTATCTGCAGGAGCATCGCCAAGAAGACTTCTAGGATTCACGATGAACGCTTTGTGTGCAACACTTCGCAATTTCACTTCGTCTGAAATCGCGCCGTTTTTCGGCTTTCTGCGCTATCATCTCGTTGCTTTGCATTCATCGTGAATGGACGACTGGTTTTACTATCGCTATCATACACCAGCTCGTCACCCCATGTTAGTACTGATCTGATTTGAAACAAGTCGTCAAATTCTCGAACAATGCTGCGAGACAGGCATCCAGGGCTGAACTGTATCTCTACTACACTAGGAATCGAGGCAACTGCAGCGCAATTCGAGCATCCAGCACAATTAGATGGCTACTCTAAGACTGCGTAGGACGTTCTTGTCGTCCCCAACGCGAACAAAACCCCGGTTTGACGATGAAAAAAACTGATGTCGGATGGTCACTGTAGCGGCAAAAGGTATCGCCGACAGGAGGTAGTAGATGCGATCTAAAAGTTTTGGAGGTATGCATTTCCTTATACTTGGGATCGTCTGGCATGTCTGAGTGCATTGCTTAAGTTCCATCATCAATCTAGGTAATTACACTCTCATACTTGTGCCCGTAGTGATTTCTTTGCCTACGGTGCGCAATTCCTGAGCCGCGCTCATGGCTACAGTCCCATATTGCAACACGGTTCGCAAATTTTTGAAGAATCGTTCTCCAGACGCGCTGTTATCGAATCTCAATTATTAAGGCTACTGCGACGCGTCCGCTACAGCTAGCACAAAGCCTCATCGCACGTTGGCGGCCGAATGTGTGGGGACGGATGCACACAATGCAAACATGCGTTCATGCGTGAGCCAGGGTCTGACCACGAGGTTCTGTCACTAAGGTTCCTGTTTTTGCACACTCAAAGATCCGGGGATATTATCTATAGGCTGCCTAAAGCAAAGCGGATCGAAGAAATAGCCTTGAAGAAGAGAAACCTATGCGAGAACAGAAACCCATGCAAAACTTAAGACACGCTTCATACGTAGTCAACACTCCGGTCGCGGTAGCCCTACGCCCAATTGCCGGTGTACACGTACCAAGTATGGCCGTGGGTGCCCAGGTCGTTCATCGACAAGAGAACGTTAAGACACCTCACGTTGGAGTCTGGTCTGTTTTCACCTGATGCAACGACTCGCCTTGACACGGCGATCGCTTTTGCCACGGTTGGGCCCGTAGACTCAAGGCAGTGTGTCAGCAACAATTTCGGTCCACGTTGACATTTAGAAATTAGTGAAACGTGAGATACAATTTGGAGGGTTTAAGAGCGATGAGAAGATTGCGCATCTCAATACGATCGCCCGCAGTTATGTGATGCCATTTTCACCCAGCCTCTCTGCTCTGGGGATGCGAAAAGCAGGATGACCGGAAGCGTGAATGCGTGTTACACCTAGTGCTTGGGCGACACCATCATACACGTCGACAATCGCACAAGCAGAGTGGCTGCGGCATTTGGTGGTGTATCTGACAGCGGACGCCCGGAGACGGTAAAGAGAGAAGTGGGTCGGCAAGACTGGCTGTAGAATTGGTATTTTGGGATTGGATGAGAACTGAACGTGAACAAAGGTACGAGGGGCAGATGTCAGTGTGGGACGAGGCGCATATATTTGATCAAACCCTCTCTATTACTATTGATTAACAATAGAAACACGACAGCCCAGTATTATCGATTCATCTTTGAGGAATTGTGTATGGGTTGGGATCTACCTGGTAGCTAAATTTTATCATTTGTGAGTGAAAACGAACAACTTTCAGGACATAGAAGAACCTTAAAGCTGTGGCTAGTCGTTAGCAAAGGCTTTTCCATCGGCCCAGAATTACAGCTCATGCAGACCACCAACGTAGTGGCCGAGCACTGATGTCAACCGAGCCAGCCGTGCCCACATGTCCACGAGGCGCCACACCCTAGGCTAATTCCCTTACCCCGTCTTTACTTCATCTTGTCTACAATTGCTTCCAATCCAGCGCCGAACTCTCAATTCCATGCGGCAAGCCTGCCCCACACACTCGAAATTCTCCGGACCCTCAACAGTGGCGATGGAGAAGAAGGAGGCGAGATCAGGCAGGATGCTATTGATGTCTTCAGGAATCCGCTTGTCCTTGGACTTAACATGGGAGAGAGATTGAATACGAACAGGAGGGTGCTTAGTGGAGTGGGTGGAGGCTTGGGAGTGGGAAGAATGGGGGGGGGTGGCGAATCTGGCTCCATGGTTAGTTGCGTGTCAGATGCGGCTGTGTTAATTAACCTAATCATATGCGAATTATATTTCTGTCAGTAAAACTTGTGGTGTAGGTTGGGTCCTGACTGGATTGTGCTAGTGAATTGTATATATGTGATACGCGGATTTGCGCGTTGTGAAGATACAATCTGAAGGGCTGCGCAACATGAAAGAAAGCACAACACATTGCATGCGACTCCAATACACAGTTTTAAGATCACGTTGAGTAGCGAAGCAGCATGTAGCTGCTTACTAGAGGGGGTTTTTTTTCATCACGATCAGCCCTAAAGCCTTACGACAATTACCGTTTACGCCAGTAGTCGACTAGGGGTAGGCATGAGCATACAGGACGACGAGTTAGTTTTAATTCCTATATCCCTTCTGCCTACATAACAACCATTCCTCCCGTGACCCTCAAAGCGCACTCGTCAATCTGCGACTCACCGCCAAACCATAATCTTCCTCCCCTAACTTACGCAGCTTTCCACTAAACACGCCCCCTTCACATTTCAGATTCAATGCATGCTGAAAACTGTACGGAGCACAGACGTTACGCCTCTCCGCGGCTTAGGTGCTTTGCAAGTACATATCGCCCAAAAGGATCCTTGCTTCGTGATTCTTGGTAATCATTGCCGGGTCTCAGTATATCTTAATGGCTCGTGTCGCCAGATGGACGCGTATATGAAGGCTACCTTGACTGATCCAGAATACTGTCCCATGTATAAATGACACCTTGATCTCCATTCACCTTTATCCGCCCGGACCCTCATACTCTCTCCAGCATCGTCCTAATACCCGTTCATGGAACAGACGCCTATTCCTTGGAATGCAGTACAGGGAGCAATAGTACCGTTTCCTCTTGCGGAACAAGACCCTAAGAAGCACTTCTTGCGTAGATTTGAAGCACCCAACTTCCTCGCAAGGCATTATCAATGTTTTCACCGTACAAACTTTTGTGAAATAGTTGCAAGAACCAGAGCGGATCTGCGCAACGATATGGATACCGCAGCATCGCAAGGGCCTCGAGTGATGCACCCTGATATGCAGACGTCAGGAATCTACTGCGGCGGCCCGCCACTTCTCAACTATAACTTTTCTCTTGGAAAGGCCGGATTCAACGAGAACAATGGATTTGAAAACCTCCTATATCTAGCCAACTGCGACTTTACAACTCTTTGAGAGAAACAGTTGCAACCATTTAAGAGAGCCCCAATGCAAAGGTGTGCTTAAGTGAACTCATGGGGAGAAAATGGAAGGAGCGGGAAAGATGAAGTGCTATAACGGTCCCTCATAGCCCTTGTCGGAGGCAAGGACCGTACATCTGACTCCTCCTCGCGCCACACCCGTTGTCTCTTTCAGTCTGTACGCAAGTCATCAACGTCTCTAAAACATTCATTGGAGTCCCAGTTACGTTTCCTCGTCAAAATTCCACTTCTTTGCGACGTCCGCTGCAAATGCAATGCCCTTGGATCTCACCGCGGACGCAAGATCCGACATGCACTGACGTGCTGCCGAAATATGCCCTGCCACCCTCCCAATTCCTAGGAACGCTAACCCACCAATTGCTTCCGAAGACTGTGCGGCCCAGTGTAGCGCAACGATTGCACCCCGAGAGTGGCCGATGACGGCGGTGTCTCGTGCCGATCTCGTATCCAAAGTCCCCTGTAAAGCCGCGATGAGCTCGCCCACATCGGTGACATGGCCGGTCACAGAGATGGCATCGTCTTCTTCTCGGCCGAAGCGAGGCTCGTAGGATCGCGGTGGTCTGAGCCGCCCTGCGCGCTCGTGCGCAAGTTCGCCCATCGTCAACTACCCACCACAACTCTCTTAGCACGACACGATACCAGTATCAACGACTCAACATACCCAGGTCTCTGTTCGAAAGGGATTGACTGAACGGGGGCAGGTGACTGTGCAGGTCACTTGTGTTTAGGGCTTGTAGGTAGGTAGGAACGAAGCACGGCACAGACGTCCCTTCACTTTGGGACTGTGGCTTCGGGCACCCCCGACTTTGAAGTCTCCAAGTTGTCTTCGTTGACATCTTATGTTTCCTTGTGGGGATTTCAAGTCGAGTAATGGTACGCTGCGTGTCGTCACTTGACACGGGAGGAGTGAGAATTAAGGCGCTATAACCAGGGAGTCGTCTTGGTTGATATTGCCGATTGGTGCCCTCGAAATTTTTCATGCAAGTGATCGACAGTGGCGGTGTCCCCAGATCAGCACAGCAATATCGTCGCCTCTTAAACAATGCGGAGAACTCGCTGTAAGCGTCGAGAGTCGTCACTAGGCCACTCCATGGGAATCATTCTCGCGAGCTTTGTGGTCTCGATCATGCGGCCGAGATCGAAATCATATCGTTCACGCCGGATGCCTTTGAGTCGTTTCACTTCTGTTGCTTCTCCGTGCCGATAGGTGTCGAGTTTCTACAACGCAACCTTCTCCCACTCCGTCTCACCCGGCTCTTTCCAGTAGTCAGTTCCGTTCTCCCTGAATCCCATCTTTTGCAACACCCTCCCGCTTCTCCCGTTCGTCTTTTCAGTCTCAGCAATGAACCGTCTTACACCTCTCTCAGCCATTGCCCATAGCATCACAGCTCGAGCTGCCTCAGCAGCCACGCCCTTACCCCAGACCTTTTCGTGCACGCCGTATCTCAGCTCCACCATCTCTTCCCAGGGCGGCAACGGCTCATCACCTGCTTCGCGCTCCGGCATTGATGTTGTCGTCGCGTCTCGAACACCCGCGTATCCCGCCCATTTAACGCGATCCAGAAACCCCAGGTCAAGATCAGAGATCCGCACGAGATTCGCGGTCCCCTCCGCATTCAGGCACCTCCCACTTTGACCAGCAACAATGTCCGTGCCGTGGTCATCTGTGCGCATCCCCACGGCGAAATCGCCCATACCCCTCGTCTTCCAGCATCGCTCCATGTCACGCGTGATTATCACGTCTCTCGTCTCCTCGTCAGTCCAGTTGCGAACGCCCCAGTCCGGTCCGAATGCCATTGTGCAGAATGCCTCGCTCGCGTGCAAGGCGCTGTACAGCTGGATATAAGCGTCGCATCGGACAGCCATTGGCGTAGGGACGATGACAAGTCGCTCAGTGAGGAGGATCCATGGTGTTTGGAGGTAGTGTGAGACCTGGCACTGGGTCTGGGGACGCATGATTGGTGGGGAGTCTTGTTACAAGTGATGGTATCGATGTACTTTGCACAAGACCAGTTGTGAAATTAGGAAGCTGATACGCTAAGCGACTCCCGACGCACGGACAGGAATATTGAAGACCTTGCACGAGCAAGTCAGCTTGCCAAAGCGATGCGTGGATGGAGCGATGCCAATAACCACACGACCGGGTATCTGCAGCTTGCGACCGCTGTGGATCGTAGCTTGCATGAGCACAGAGTGTGTTGCCGCGGTGCGGGCCACAGAATGGATGTCGGAGCTCTGGTTTTTCGGACTAGCCATTGGACCGGCTCAGCAATCCGTGCTTCTTAACAGCAGCCACCACACCTCTCCAACCATTACATGCGCCCAACGGTCGCATCGCGAGACCCGTCATCTCGCCATGGATCTCACCGCGTTGCCTGATCCCACAGCAAAGCGGAAACGCGCAATACGCACCGCCTCCTGCTCCCCGGCGGGCCACATCACCATATCCACTGCCCAGGGCGCGCTCGCAGCGAGTCGGTAGATCATACTCGTCTTGAACTCATTCTAACCCTCTTTTAAGACACACAACTTGGGCCAGAGTCGTGTTACAAAGGGCTAGAGCTAGGAAGGGTCAGAGTTAGACAGGATTAGGTTTAGTAAGGTTTATATAAGGTCAGGGTAGAAGACCGTTTTCCATGTGATTAATATAGGTACGCCTTAGCGTTCTCCCAAGTAAGGTGAACTTGATCATGTCTGCTGTAAAGCTGAATGCTTACGACACGGGTTCAGCATGCAACAAGATGGTCGAGCACAATAGGGTGGAGTTGCACCGAGAAAGATGGAGAAGTCCCCCAACCAGGCTTGGCACGATCCTGCAGTCGCCGACAAGGCAGCTGAAAACCACTTGGGCTGCCTGGATTCGGGGGAAGATTGCAAGCACAGTTGTTGAGTTCGACGTAGCTGGACGACAGTCTCGGGGTCACTCGAACATTGAGAACACAGACCAGTGAGCGCGATCTTGGTAAGATCACTAGAGGTCGATGCAGCTCGAACGGCGAAATGGCAGCTGACGGTAGATGTCCGACGTATCCATACAGAGTCCGCAATCACCAGTACCTCGACTCTGACGTGAACCTCACATCACGGAAGCTGCTGTATGCATATGATACTCAGGTGTGTTCCCATAATCGAATTTAATTCCAGCTTGTGTCGGCTCCTTACTGTGCACCGACCAATCTTTTCCCATTCTTCTTCGACACCAGAATCTCATCTCTCCACTTCTCCAGATCATTCAGCGCCTTTTGCGGGTTCTTCTTCCTCATTAACAAATACCCTTGGATCTCAGCGGGAGAGAACGTATCCGCCGGAAACTGCTGTGCAAATTTCCGCGCCATCCCCTCCAGTGTCTTAGAATCGGGGATCTTGGAGACGGGTCGAGGCTTGCTGTTTGACAGGCGACCGCCGCTTGTTTGTTCTTCTGGCGTCTGGCTGTACATGCGCTTAAAAATCTCGTGGATCTGGTCCTGTGTTGCAAATGTAAAAGCGACCTGGAGATCCACTCTTCCTGGCCTGATTAATGCAGCATCGAGTTGTCCTGGAGTGTTGGTAGTCATGATGAGAACGTGGCCCTCATGGGACGCTGCACCATCAATCACGTTGAGCAGAGCGCTCAGACTGATAGACCCGGTAGAGCTGTCTGTCTTGTTTGTGGCCGTTTTAGCATCCTTGCTGGACCCCGGGTCCGCGTTGCCGCCTTCTGGCATCTCTACCAGGACGGGCTCCTCCTCGCGCTTGAGTCCAGCGCTGTCGATATCCTCCAGGAGGACAATACAACGGTCAGGGAGATCATTGAAGAGCATACATAGATCAGACTCGGTCAAGTCTTTATCGTTCAATGAGACGCAGTACACTTCCAGCCCGAAAACTCCAGCGAGCGCAAACGAGAGAGACGTCTTCCCGGTGCCAGGAGGACCGTGGAACAGGTACCCACGTCGGTGCGGAATACCTCGTGCTGCGTACCACCTGGCTGTGGCAGGGCGAAGGTACTCATTAATGTCCTCCACGATGTCGTCCTTCTGCTGTTGATCAAGAGACACTGTCTGCAGGGGACGGGATGGGCGGCATGATTGTCTACTCCAGTAGCGACTGCCGTTGCTTAGCGCACGGTAGACGCTTGTCATGGCGGTTTCTCGATTGATTTTCCACTGCCTGATGTGGGTGAGAACATCCTTGACCGGCTCTGCCGTTCGAGCGTAGCAGTAGATCTCCAAAGTCTCTCGCATGTACGATCCGGCTTCATCCTTCACACTGGAGCGAACAACTTTAAAGCGCCGGCCGTTGTGGAAGAAGAAGTCGTCGGTGCCATAGCTGAGCTCATACCGGGGCATGGGAACCTCATACTTGTAGATGCCCTGCTCGTCCTGTACATTATCATCCTTCTTGTTGTCGTCGTAGTCTGTAACTGCCTTCAACTTCCTACTGGATTTCCTGTTTTGTTGTTCGGAAAGCCAGGCCTTTACGTCGTCGAAAAGACCATCATCGTCGTGGACTTGAATAGAAGAGGTGTAGTACTCATCAAAATAGCCTTGCACCAGGTCATAGAGGTACCGCCAAGCCGCATGGCAACCAAAAATCAATGCCCATCCGGTCACAATAACTCCAATGTCGATACCCAGCAGTCGGAATGCCAATTGCGAGATGGTACTATATCCCGGAACCACGAGCTCGAGGAGTGTTGATGGCAGATTTGCGGCCGTGGCGTTTGTAGAGTTGAGTTCGTACTGCAAGTTCTGCAGTCGAGAGAAGTCCATGATGGTCGACGTGTTGATGAACGAATAAGTATCCAGCCAGGTTCCTCGAAGAAGCTTGCTGCAAATATACGTGATTGTCCTCAGGCAGCAATGAGTCAGACGGACTAAGCTTTGGTTCCATAAAGCCCGTTTCAGCGTCTTTCTCAGGCGACCTGAAGATAGATTTCCACCCTATTGACTGCGCCACTGACGCACCAGGTTAGCGCAAGGCTGCCATAGCTTAACGAGCCCGTGTCAGTGTGGCTGTGCAGTTCCTCCCCAATCAGAGGTGCAGTGAGGTTGACGTATGATACTTTTTAAGGTCTAAAGGGTCATCAAATCAATATCAACTGCCGGCGGCATAGCGACTCGTTGTTGCAAGCTGAAGATTAATATGAGGGTATAAAAGATTGGTGGGCCTTCCGCGGAAGTTTGATTGGGCACATTGAATGACTACCTAATGCATACTAGCGCGAGCGGGACTGGAAGTGGCGACACAACGGAGCATCGTGCAGCGGACTGGAGTGTAGCGATGGGCGTGCATGAACATGCACCAGAAAGGATGAGGATGTTCACGCGCCATTGTTGAGAAGACCAATTGCTGCCTCCGGGGATCGGGATTGCGATGTGGAGGACACATACGGCAAAGCAGGTGTATCTTTTCTTGGACATTGGTCCCGACTTGTGACATAGAGGGACGCTTAGCACATGTAAAACTCATCTAATGGGGTGTCTCCCACTGAAACCTGCTTGAGGAGCTCCTTGACTGCAAGACCGCGATTCACGCGCACGTACAGCAGCACCTGCCAGTGCAAAGCACACATGGACAGTTGTCTACCTGTAGCGAACGGAGAACAATAGCTCATTGTTATCTATCTGTGGCGGTCTTCTCCTTGGGAGATTGTCAGAATCATTGTCGAATTCCGTTCACCTGATCACTGTTTTGGAGTTTGGTTCCAGGTGAGCTTGCGCTGAAAACGGTGGCGGAGATTGCGATCATGGAGTCGAGACATATTAGACCAGAATCTATTAGCTCCCTTGTAGTAGCTAGAAGACAGTAGTAATTATAATTAATAACAGTTAGAGCGAAATGACTTCTTGCCTTTCCTTGAAGGGATGACCTCAGTGGAGCAGAGGCTGTGCGGTTTTAATGTCACCTAAAGGTCTCTGAAATGATACGCGATCGTGAAACCCGTATACGGTTAATAGTCGTGTCCATTGTAATTATAAAGCCCCCGTAATATTACTGCGGCCAGAAATCGTAGGTTCAAGCGCTCTGTGTCTTCTCTTGACAGCGGAACAGATCGCACCGCGATAATTGTGGAACCCGCTGCGTAAGATCTACTTAGCGCAACGGCGCTTTGCCAAACGATCAGCACCAGGTTGCCCGCCAATCGCTTGGTGTATCACCAGGGCCCATCTCCGATCCAGCACCGATGCGACGCGCGAACCAGGTTCATGCCAAATCTTTGCGGCATCTAAGCAACCTGCCTGTTATCTTCCTCGATGAGGGAAGATACACATAATTTAGAAGAAGGGCATGTAAAGTATTCTCCATCGCGCGCATTAGTTGGTCGCAGACTATTGCGAAGGCAAGCAGAGCAGGATTAGCCGTAGGCGTTTGTGAAGGTATCATAATGTCTAGTACTGCGGCGAAAGAAGCACGACTTCGCTACGCTTAAGGCTATAGGGGAGACTTTTTGTCGCTCTCTTAGAAGGCATCAACAATAAGCAGTCGAATAGTGATTAGGCAAATGTGTCTGCCATCGATACAATCCAACATGCCATCAACCCTAGTCAGTTTTGACCGCAGGAAAGATAATCCAGAGTCCGAAGACAAGGTCAGCAAGTTCGAACGCGCTATAGATGGGCTGACTTGAGACATTTGCTTTCCTTGAGATCCCATTGTAACATGGAATTCCGCCCGAAGCTGCGACCGGTGCATTGGGTCAAAAACGAAAAGATGGATTCGATGGTGTCATTATTGCCATCCACGGCAGTGACAGGGTCTTATATCACAGACTCTGCCGGTTATGTACAACGGCCATTCGAAAGATCATGCGGAAGCCAAATGTAGAACGTTTCGACTATAGTTTGAGCCTAGACTTACCGGCGGGGCATGAGATGGCAGTCCCATGCTATAGTATTTCCACCAGCGCCTCATTCGACGTGAGGTCCTCACTGTTCGCCTAGAAAAGAAGAGGGAGCGAAAAGAGGTATATAGCTTCGTCACTGCGGCGACTAGAAACAGAACGACACCTTAAATCGGTGGACCCAGACTTACAAGATGCCATCAGTTTTCAGGGGTATCTCCGTTCAATGCAAACCAACGCCGCCAAAGTCCAACCAACGCCAGCGTCCATGCCACAAAACCCGCCAGAAACAACAGCGTGCAGGAAGATTACTCTCAAAATAAAACCAAGTCCAACTCCAGCCTAATGTTCACTCTGCTGTGCCACCTGCTTCTTGAGCTTTCTAGACGGCTTGCGTGGTATGCAGGGTCGATGCAGGCGGCACTGCTGACCCACTAGATGGCTACCTTGGCGATTGCGGCGTAACTGACCTATCGGATTTTCTCGCGTTTGGGTCGATGGTGCTGCGGGCGATCTCGCGCCTCACAGCGTCTGGCTACTTGCCGGGTTTGCCTGATGCAGCGGGTTTGATGACTTCCCCATCGGGGTCACCAATGTCCTGGCATTGCTCTTGCGTCGCGATGGGTTCGACTTGTATCGGTTCCTTGTCGGCGCAAGCGGGGAGCAGGTTGGCTTCGTTAGTGAAGCAGAGGTACAACATGGCCTTGAGCCAGTTGTCCTCCGCAGCGGCGTTTCCGTTGACGGCATTATCGCTGCGCATGTGGAGGCACTTGGCGACTATTTCCTTTTCAACCTCCACATCGCCCACCCCATTCCCCCCCGAAACTCTCTCCCAGCTTAGCATCCAACCCCTTCTCCCCCTCGATCTTCCCTCCCATAGCTTTCTTCTTTTCCGGCGTCGGCACAGTAGCTACACTCGGCCCAAACACCAACTTCAGCACGACCTTCTCCTTCTCCGGCTTCGGCTTCGGCGTCTGCACAGCTTGAGCTGGCGTAGAGCGCAGAGGGGTCGGCATCACAACCCTAGCCCTAGGCCGAGACGCCGACGCGCTGGCGAGGACGGCAAGGAGATTGTGGTTCTCAGTCGGAATTGGGATTGGGGCGTAGGGCGGGGTTGTTGTAATTGTAGTTGCCGGTGTAGAAGCGGTCAGCCAGGCGGTCTTTGCAGGTCCAATCTCGATCTCGGTTGGGGCATCGTCTTCTTCGGCTACGGCCATTGGGCCCTGCGTCTCGTGCTTCTCTTCTTCTTCTGGCTCCATCGATGGGCTCTCAACGGCGTCAGGCATGGCCGCGTCCGTGCCATCTGCATTATTCCCACTCGCCTCCGCAGCCCTTGTAGCTTCTATCCTCATCAGCACACTTCCGCCACCGGAACATATCAAGGCTGGAACCTACTCTCTTCAAACTCTTCATGTGCGCGCACAGCCTGGCGCAGCTCGCACTTATCCCACCCTACATCCTCGACACTCTCCACGCCCCTCGAGTAAAAGCTAAAAAACTTATCCCGGAATCTCAACCCCTCCTCCTCTTTACCAGTGGCAGCCTCCAGCTGCTCCGTGCGAAACACATCCACGTGGCTCGTCAGCGTGTGGCTGTACCCAGCCGGCAGATTGCGCACGGTGTTCCTGGGCGCCTCAGCCGGCGTGTAGAACCATGCGCCTGCGACGAACCTCTCGCCATGATACCTCCACGCTTTGACATCCAGGAGGTAGCCGTATCCAGATGCGCTGTCAGGGCAATCGACCTTATAGATGCGAGCGCGGGGAGTGGCGTCCACGGCAGAGGGCTCGGGCTCGTAGCGGCGGCCGCCAACCAGGATCTCGAGGCGGAGGGGGAAGTTGTTGTGGGTGCGGCCGCGCGAGGGGCGGCGGCGGCGGGCGGAGGTGCGCGGCTTGAGCTCGATTGCGTCAAAGGGGGCTGGGGGGTTAGCTGGGGTTCGAAGCAACAGAACTGCCGGCGAGTTGCAGGATCAAGGCAATGGGGACATACTGCCATTCGGGTTGTCTGCGTTGATCTCCTCGTCCTCCACCTCTGTAGCCTCGTCTGCATCGGCCGGCATGCCATTGTCCTTGTTGCCCGCCGCGTCGGCCAGGCTGTCCATGTCCAGCGCGGCCTGCATCTCGGCCTCGACGTCGCTCGCCCCGTCACCCTCGTCACCAGCATCGGACGCAGCCGTGTTCGCCTTCTTTATCGCCGGCTCGGGGAAGTCAAACACGCTCGCGCTACTACCATTAGCCAGCCATCGCTTAACCTTACACGCGTACGTACCGCCTCTTGCGCGGCGAAGCGCACTCACCATCTCGCGCGCTGGCTACCTGCCCGGCGCGGCGTGGGGACAGCTCATCTAGATCGGCAGGCGCACCGCGCAGGAAGAGCGCCCGATCCACCTTTAGCAGGCGCATGCGAGCCATTACAGGTGGTGGTGGTAGGAGTTGCGGCGCGTTAGGCGTCTTGTGCCTGGGCTGGCGGTCGCGGAGCTGGATAGCGCGCTTATGCGGTGGCGCGGTACGAGGAGCTCGTCACAATTGACGAATAGCGTTAGCGCGTGCATTGCTTGGCAACATTTCGAATGTCCATTTTGCATGCGAAAAATATATTATATAGTAAAATAAACTTCTAGGAACTTCTCTATATGCTTGATTCCCTATCTAGGGCAATTGTAGAGATGTTCTAGGGGTATAGAGGTACTTTCTACCATCCTCCACCATAGAAACAATCATCTCCATAATGCTTCATGATACGGCGAACAACGTCTAGGATGCCGTTAATCCACTTATTCATGACCTCCTGCGGTAACTACTCCCACTCGTGAGCCTATTGTTTACAGCATTCGTCCGCGCATGTGGACGGCGTGAAGTCCTTTATCAGGTGACGTCGGATCCACGGCCATACATGCTCCACTACGTTAACGTCTAGACTATAACCCAGCCAAGGGAGCTTCTCTATGTGGGAGACTTCTAAACACTCTATTACGATACGTGATTTGTGTGCTGGAGCTCCATCCTTAAACAGGACCGGACGTCGTCCATCCATCTCTATGTTACGGCTACGCCGCAACTGAATGACCTGCAGGGTAATTACGATGACAGCGATGGAGATGACTGGGGTTCCGACCCGGGCAACATCGCTTATGGTGACGATGCTTACCACAACATGGACACGTAAGCATCAGGGCACGTGATAAAGTCACGTGATGGCTCTGCGGGCTCTGCGGAGCAGAGCCAACAGAGCCAGAACCGATAGCAGTATATAGAGATGTGTTGGATAGAATGATGATTAGGTCGTCACTTTGATTAGGATCTTAATGATGGGTGTGAGTTCTTGATTGTCCTCTTTACTAATGTTCCTTTTAACCATGAGTTTCTGACACCTTAATCTAACAAGAGACTTAAGCATGATAGTGTAATCTGACACACCCCCTCAGCTTAAGAGCACTTTGTGGAGTTGGCTCAAGCTGGTCGTCCTTAGGGATCAATCTAGCTTATAGGCCTCCATCTATTGCTTATGTAATGGGCTGGGCCCATACACGCGCTGCGTGATACCCGCAGCTGTCAGTCATGTGATTCCGCCCCAGAACCTGTAACTTCTGCCCCTGAAGATCCCTATCAGTATTCGGCCCGAACATGCCAATCCTCTTCTGCCTCTGCCTATATAGCTTGATCGCTCCCTCTCGATA